GGCTTCCTCTTTTGGTCAGCAGACTGGGTATCGAAACTAAGAACTGCAATTTTAAAAATTCAACTATTCCAGAAAAAACTGAAAATAGGTCCCAGTTCCAGTCGATGCCCAATGCTCAACCTTATCTGTGAAGGGATGTTTCAAAATTTGACGCTAGTAGTAGTAGTAGTAGTAGTAGTAATAGTAATAGTAGTATAAAAGGATATGTAATAGAAGACTGTGCTAACTCTGAAGATGTATGTCTTCCAAATATTAGCAGATTTGATAGACTAAAGTAGCCTGGCCTGCCATACTCATCCTCTGTTTAATTCTGCACAGAGAAATAGTCTGGTAACTCACAGGCAGGGAGGCACATGAGGGGCGGGACTAGGCAGCTCAAAAGTAACCAATCAGAAAAAAGACGGAAATCCCGACTGTACCGTACGACACTGTAGTTTTCTAGTTGTAGTAAAAAGATAACGTCTGGTATCGGCGCTAACATCTTTTATTTTTTTTAGAAGAAATACTTTGATCACTTCCACTTGTGGTTTTAAAGACATTCAAGTAATTTAGAACAGAGGAAAGAGCTGCAGCGAACTCCGCTTCAGTTGCCATGTTCGACGAACTCAGCGTTGTGGTCAGCACTGATTGGCTCGGTTAGAATTCTCACAGGGTGAGGTTATTTGAATTGGAGAATTACCAGACTCTTTCTCTGTGCAGAATTAAACAGAGGAGGAGTCTGGCAGGTCAGGCTAAGACAAAAGATGAAGGCTTTTTGTATTCTGACTTTTCCAATCGCATGAGAATGTTGATGCCCTTCGTAGTATGTTTAACTCTGATGCTTTGAAAAATCAAACACCTAAAATAAGCTGCCTCTAAAGAGTGGTTAGGTTCATCACGGTTTTTCCTGTCTCAATTCGAGGCAGAGGTGGTACCATCCTGACCATACATCATATGCACATGCATACTCTGTGCATCCAACTGCCTCACTTTTTTAAAGGCAAAATATTTTTTGTTAAGTGTTCTAATCTAAGCTTCTGTTGGTAAAGTAGAACATTCCATTTGACAACGTTTCAAGTGAAACAAAACTGGTTTGCTGCTAAAAAATATGAAATTAAACAACAAAATTATCAGGTTGAAATAAGACTTTTATTATAAAAAACTCAATAATATGCATTAGATTAGAGTTTAGTTCCCTTTTTCCCATCTGGTATTTATAGTTACAAATATTTTTAAATATTTGACCTACATTTCAGTAACATTTTAGGTTTGTATTAATAGCACTCATCTTAGTCAAAATAACACATAAATATATCCAGTAAAATATAAAGCATTTCATTAACATGCATTTGTATTGGAAATGGTAATAACATTTAATTTCTGCTGCTATCAATGTAATGGTGGCACGTCTATTATGTACGGGTTGGCAATAATCCAGTTTAAATTATGTTCAAAGATAGAAGTGTTTGTGAATTGTATACTACAACGGCTTGCCGTACTTCCTGCATGTGGAGCAGACTTGTAGCAGTCATGTGACTCGTATCTGCAGCGGTTCTGATCCATAGAGCTCCGGACGTCACGTGACTCTCCGAGAGTAGACGCCATGTTGGCAGGCAACAAAGGTATACAAAAATAACGGGATCGGCTTGGATTTTACTCTGTTGGAGTTTACTTCACACTTTAAAACCGAAGATATCGTTTTATATAGTCAGAAATTAAATAGACTAAACATCTACGACCCTTTCCATGCCCCTGGGATACTTTTTAAGAACGCCAGAAGCTGTCGGAGCGGACCTGGCCAGCGAATGCCTTGGGATTTCCCCGAAGGAGCTGGCCCAAGTGGCTGGGGAGAGGGAAGTCTGGGCCTCTCGACTTAAGTTACTGCCTCCGCGACCCGACTCTGGATAAGCGGATGAAAATGGATGGATGGATGGATGGATGGATGGATGGATGGACAAATAACACAGATTTACATGTAAGAAGTTTAAATAGAGTGCTGAATGTCAAGAGAAATCACTAGTCTGATTTTTTCCGTGAATAACATAAATGTCAGGCAGGAGCGTCTCAGGATCTGTCTGAGATCTGTCTCGGTGAGAGAGACAATAGCAATCCAAAGTGCTCTTTATGTGTGATCTGACAATTGATCAACCATTGCTTAAAAATGAAGTACAACTTAGCCGGTTAATTAAGTCCTGTGATCATAAGACACGTAAACCTCAGCACACAGAAATCATGACGTTTTCTGTGATGTTTACTTGTTGCTGAGTAATAAGACAGAAAAAGCCACGCCAAAATAAGTTTAGGAAGCCCACTAAGAATCGTAATAAAAGCATTTCAAATAATTACCATATACAGTTGAGGAAACGTTGGTTTAAGTACCAGATATGAAGTGGTCGCTGCATAAGCGACAACCTTCACTCTCGGGATCCCACAGCTTCATTTTAGCCCGGTCACTAGCGCATTTTATTACAATGATCCAATGGTTGCGGTGTTCTGGATCTTGGGGAATCCTGTGGATGGCTCATTCCTTATGTCGTCCGCGTCTGTTCTGGCATCCTGGGGCACAACAGGAATCTACCATATTTCCCGTTTGAGTTTTCTGACAATAACAAATAGCCCAGCTGCGGGCTTCTGCCTGCCAAGATGGCGCCGTTTCGATTTGAACTGTTGCATGCCGGGAGAAGTGACGTCAACTCCTGGAGCTCTATAGCACTGCAGGATGCAGAATAAACAGGATGGTGGGTACTTTTCATCCGCTTTTAGAGTTTAGTCTTTCTTAGTTTTACGATCATCATATATTTTTCTGTGCGCCACTTGATCGTGAGACTGCTACCCGTTAGCTTTAGCATTAGCCAATCTGCGTGTAGCTGCACTTTTGATCCCAAACTTTGAACTGGTTCTGCCTTTGCTGGTTCCTTTATTTTCTTCCACTGCATCCAGATGACCATACTGTGCGCCAGTAAAAAGCATTTTTTTTACCCGAAACTTACTTTTGTTCAATAAAGTTCTGGGGAAAATAGTAATTCAAAGATGTTGCATGAGTGCTACGTTTAAAAATAGACAGACATGCACAGTTTTTTTTTCCGTCGCACTGTACAGCCCTGCTCTGATATGGGAGAGCCTGGGGGAAAATCAGGACGTCAATAGCACCAACCATAGATATGTACCAACTAGCGAGAAAAGCTAGACTCTTCTTTTTCTGCAGTGGTTTTAGTGCTTTTCAGTGCACCTCTGCTGATACAGCGCCCCTGTAGTAGCGCAACACTGCAGCTGCAGTTAAAATAACATCCATTAAGCTGGGGGCAGAGTGAAATCAGGCTGGGGCGGCACAAAATTAGCTGGAGGCGGCCGCCACGCAAATTTGAAAGCAGGAAAAACCCTGTTCATGCTTAGCAGCCTGGAGAGGAACTTGACAATTTGGGAAGAACATGTTAGATTGTTGCTTACATACAAACTAAAGTGGGCATCCAATAAGGAGGATTTCTTCATGATTTTATGGGGAGAACAGGTTTTGGACATGTCCCATTGAGAGGACGCCTTGGTGCTGACTCTGGACCCACTTGAGAGTATAGATCTTGTAACTAGCTTGGGTACATTTCGGAGAACCTGCAGATAAGTTCAACAAGGTAAATGTGAAGAGGGAGGTCTAAGGAGGTCACTATTGCCCCCAAAACCCAGTCCTAGGAATTTATCAGAAAATATATTGTAACGGAATTTTCCACCAAAAGTCATTTCCCCCCTCCCCTCTGACACAGAACTAGTCTGCATGAGATATGGCCTCAAGGTCTCATGCATTTGCTATAAACTGCTTCTTTCCAGCTCAAGAGAAGAATGAAGAAAGGATTATCTCCTTTTAATAAATCAAAGAACTCTATTTTTAATAAAGCTAATTAAACAAAGTGTTAGTCAACAATACGATGTGACCAATCTGTGAAATCAAAATATTAATTACTTTATTATAATCCTATAGAATATAATAAGTAATATGACTTTAAATGTTTCCACTAGGACTGATCTCAGGTAGCATTAAGAGAAGACACATTGCTTTTACTGATCCAATCAGAATCTGCCAGATCTGACGGAGGCGTGGTTTTGGTGGTGCTTGGTAAATCTGTCATCTTTTCATTCGACCATAAACCAAAACATCCGAAGTATAAAACTATGCCCACATCATCTTTAACGCCAGTTCAAAGCGTTCTAGAGAAGTTGTTGGAGTGGCCAATCCGTAACTTGCCTCTTCAGCCAAAAGAACCAACGACAAGCTGGATAAAATCTGTTGCTGTTCCAACTGCTGCAATGGTTCCTTTCAGAATAAAAGCTGAACCATCACAACCCAGGTTTGGGTCTCGCTAGATGCCAACAAACTGTTGTGACCCGGAAGTATCTCAAGACTGGTGGTCGGCGTCCACGGCTGTTTCTACAGGCTTCGCCTCCATAAAGGTCAAGCTGGACCTTTACACCTCCTGATCTAGACGGGGACTTCCGCTAAGGGTACATAGACCGACAGGATGGCGTCAAATGTGTTTATGAATCTCCTAACCAAAGCTTAGCGCGAAGACATCACCTTCACTTCCAACCAGAACTAATAATTTCTTTGGATTTGCTGGTTCTGAGCAACATTCCACATTACACCATTCTTCGTCTCATTCACCTTAGTTACACCATACACTTAGTGTTTAAGTTAGTCTAGTTTAGTTTGTTTAGTAATAAATCTTTAAACCTTTAAACTTGACTCTCTCTTCTGTTGTCTCTGAGTTAATACAAAGCTGTTTTCTAATCTCTGAAATAAAAATTCCAGTCTTCTGGTTAAACAGTACCCACAGATCCATAAGGTTGAGTTCATATTTACTATGGAATCTTATGTCTTATGGCTTATTAAATAACATGTAAATTAAACCATTACAGAATGGCAAGCCAGCCATTACAATATGGATGGATGATAAATGGATGGATGGATGAATGGATGGATGGATGGGTGTATTGATGAAGGGCTTAACAATCAGATACATTTTGTGTTTTAGCTGATGGCAGTCTATGAGGAACAAGAAGCCCAGCAGAAGGATGTTGCAAACACCAGCCTCACACCGAGTCTTGACCTTCACCAGGTTGAACTCTCCGCATTCCAGCCAATTACTGGAGGAGAGATTGAAGTCAATTCCTCAGCGCTCAAGTCTAGTAAGTATTTTATCTTTTCTCATCATCACTGATCTCTATGATGCTTAAACCGTTAGTGATGTAATTAATTAGGTCACATGTCAACAATCATGACGTTTAATTTAATGGAAGAGCAACAGGGCCCCAAATCATAGTTTTTTGAAAGTGGGTGTTTGAGTAAAGTGCAGGTCCTTCTCAAAAAATCAGCATATTTCGATAAAGTTCATTATTGTCTGTAATGTACTGATAAACATTAGACTTTCATATATATTAGATTCATTACACACAACTGAAGTAGTTCAAGCCTTTTATTGTTTCTAATATTGATGATTTTGGCACTCAGCTTATGAAAACCCAAAATTCCTATCTAAAAAAATTAGCATATTTTATCTGACCAATAAAACAAAAGTGTTTTTAGTACAAAAAAGTCAACCTTCAAATAATTATGTTCAGTTATGCACTCAATACTTGATCTGGAATCCTTTTGCAGAAATGACTGCTTCAATGCGGCGTGGCATGGAGGCAATCAGCCTTTGGCACTGCTGAGGTGTTATGGAGGCCCAGGATGCTTCGATAGCGGCCTTAAGCTCATCCAGAGTGTTGGGTCTTGCATCTCTCAAGTTTCTCTTCACAACATCCCACAGATTCTCTACGGGGTTCAGGTCAGGAGAGTTGGCAGGCCAATTGAGCACAGTAATACCGTGGTCAGTAAACCATTTACCAGTGGTTTTGGCACTGTGAGCAGGTGCCAGGTCGTGTTGAAAAAGGAAATCTTCATCTCCATAAAGCTTGTCAGCAGATGGAAGCATGAAGTGCTCCAAAATCTCCTGATAGCTAGCTGCATTGACCCTGCCCTTGATAAAACACAGTGGACCAACACCAGCAGCTGACATGGCACCCCAGACCATCACTGACTGTGGGTACTTGACACTGGACTTCAGGAATTTTGGCATTTCCCTCTGCCCAGTCTTCCTCCAGACTCTGGCACCTTGATTTCTGAATGAAATGCAAAATTTGCTTTCATCTGAAAAAAGTACTTTGGACCACTGAGCAACAGTCCAGTGCTGCTTCTCTGTAGCCCAGGTCAGGCGCTTCTGCCGCTGATTCTGGTTCAAAAGTGGCTTGACCTGGGGAATGCGGCACCTGTAGCCCATTTCCTGCACACGCCTGTACACGGTGGCTCTGGATGTTTCTACTCCAGACTCAGTCCACTGCTTCCGCAGGTCCCCCAAGGTCTGGAATCGGTCCTTCTCCACAATCTTCCTCAGGGTCCGGTCACCTCTTCTGGTTGTGCAGCGTTTTCTGCCACACCTTTTCCTTCCCACAGACTTCCCACTAAGGTGCCTTCATACAGCACTCTGGGAACAGCCTATTCATTCAGAAATGTCTTTCTGTGTCTTACCCTTTTGCTTGAGGGTGTCAACGATGGCCTTCTGGACAGCAGTCAGGTCGGCAGTCTTACCCATGATTGTGATTTTGAGTAATGAACCAGGCTGGGAGTTTTTAAAAGCCTCAGGAATCTTTTGCAGGTGTTTAGAGTAAATTAGTTGATTCAGATGATTAGGTTAATAGCTCGTTTAGAGAACCTTTTCATGATATGCTAATTTTTTTAGATAGGAATTTTGGGTTTTCATGAGCTGTATGCCAAAATCATCAATATTGGAAACAATAAAAGGCTTGAACTACTTCAGTTGTGTGTAATGAATCTAATATATATGAAAGTCTAATGTTTATCAGTGCATTACAGAAGATAATGAACTTTATCACAATATACAAATTTTTGAGAAGGACCTGTGTATTTGAGGATCAGTGTCTCACCTGCAAAAGTTACAGCGTTTAGTGGTCGGGTTTTTGTGTTGTTTTGAAGTGTTTCATATTTGCTCCATGCTTTTCTTTATTGAAATAAACCTATATTTGTGTATTTTTCCAATCAGGGTAAATTCTGCATGTTGTGTTATTTAAAGCTACCATTAGAGTTTAGGGCACACTGGTGCACTTTTACTAGACAAACAGTGTAGTCTAAGAGACTTTTGCACTTTTACACAGGAGACATACTGTTAACTTGCAGTGCAGACAAAGGTCAGAATGTGATGGGTGGGACAGTAATAAAAGCAAGATGGCAAAGGCTGAAACGTTGTAAGCAACTGTCACTGAGGTATGGCTGAAAGAGCGTCAGAAGGGGAGAAGAAGACAGGAAGTGCATGTGTTCTGTCAGGCTGCAAGACCTAAAACTGATGTTTGTGTCTGCTTAGTGTTACCTGAGCAAGACCTTTCTACGTGACCTTTATTCCCTCAGTAAATCTATCTTTGCATGGCTTTCTTTTTTTTTTAAAAGTAATTTTCTTTTTTGTTTTCCAAATTTTCTGTCTTGTTTCAAGCGAGATACTGGTCTATCTGAATTAATGTGTATGTGATGGTGAGAGGGCCGTCACTTTGAGTTAATGAAATGTAATTTTATTTAAACAAACCCTGTAAGTCTTGGCCTGTGTCTCTTTGTATATATATATATATATATATATATATATATATATACACATACATATGTATGTATATATATATATATATATATATATATATATATATATATATATATATATATATATATACACATACATATGTATGTATATATATATATATATATATATATATATATATATATACATACATACACATACATATGTATGTATATATATATATATATATATATATATATATATATATACACACACACACACACACACACACACACATACATACATACATTTTTAAAAGGTTTATGTCAGTGCTTTTTTAATTTCTGTCACACTGCATTACCATTTCAGATTATTTATTATGGCCTTTCACGAAGGAGGAGTTTCTGTATAATCCAGACTAAGTTGAGACAGGAAGTTTATTCTTTTCAGTATGATGTCCTGTCAGTAAAGATTAGTTGGTAAAATGTGACTTATCATGGGATATTAGAGGTAACAGAGCTCTGGAGACAATCACACTGTCAGTGTGAGAAGGTCAGAGTTAGCCTGTATCTGTCTTCTTGTTTTGCCTTCCAGCCCAACCTTTTGTTTACTTCTCCTCGTCTTTGTCAGCTTTCCATTTGTTGCTCATTATTTCTTAATTTCCTTATGCTGTAAGAATCTTTCTATTCAACCCACTTTTTTATTGCTGAGGTCCGTTTTACTCCGCATTTGAATGGTAGCTGATTGAATTCCCAACAAAACCCAGTTCAGATGTTAAAGTTTACTTGGGCAAGATGGTGGAAATAATATTGCCTAGACTTAAGCTGCCTTGGATAAAAGCATCTTCTAAATAAATGTAATGGTTTTGTTTATGCTGACTCACTCTCACACTCATGGCTTGCTGCAGCATTTGAATATTATGGAGCCATAATTCGTTTTCACACATGCACCGCAGTCCTGAAATTTCTCAGAGACATCCAGGAGAGGTGGAATGTGAGAAAGCAAATGGCTGCAATAAGTCAGCTTCAAACTTACTGCAGATACTTCCCATCAGCCTCTAAATGATATTTCTGGAAGATTAGTGAGACTGAATGCAGCGATACCAGATCACTCCATACTCATTCCAAGTGACCTGTTGGTTAGTTTCCACTTACTCCACGTTTAAATCCTTGTGGAAATGACATAAAAATAAAGTCAAAATTTGAGGTGTATAATAAAAAAAAATCAGCTTTTTCTTTTTCTTTTAACCACATCTTGGCTTTCTTGCACACTGGAGAGACCTTCCTCTGCATTTATCATCAGTGACTGCATTTTTCCAGCACAGAATTACACTGCAAAGTGCTTGTGTGCAGCAACTGCAAAAAAAAAAAACCCTCAACAAAAAGCATCAGCACCACATTTCCTCCATTGTTCTACTCTTCCAGTGTTCATACAAAATAAAAGCCTGTAATTATGCTCAATGATAATGTAGGTTTTACTTTCACTAAAAGAAAAATCAGTTAATTTGCCTTTTTTTGTACTGTTTGTATTTTCAGTCGTAACTTAAATTTTGTTGCGTCTTTGTCCTCTGTCCAACTTTTCACTTTCACATCCTCCATCAAACCTTGCTTCTTTAATTGTCTTTCTTGGAGGAGATGAATTGATCAGGGGTTTGATGTAATCCATATCCCCCCAGCTGTTCTTAAGAGCACCAAGGGTCCATTTGTGACGATCAATATATGACCCTACAAATATCATTTGGCATGTCTTCTGAGTACTTTAATCATATAGACTTCCCTCCACACACACTACCACCTTTGCCATTATATTCTCAGTTGAGCAATAGGCACATACATGACAGTGTTCTTAATGTATACATTTATAGATTGATGGCTGCTGTGAGTGGGGATGGTTGGTTTGAGGTTTCAGAGCCTACTGCACAGACCATAATAACACCACAGCACATTGAATCTTATTTATTTGCTTAGTTTTTTGCAGTGTTGACTTTCCTCTCATTTTCACTTTTCCCTTAAGTCCCATCAGCAGCACAGGCAGCAGTGCGGTGTGTTCAATTTATCAGTTTTTTGTTAAATCATGATTTTATGCAGAGGGCAGATGAGATGTGAAGATAGAGCCATTATCATCTGTTATCAACTTGCACACACAAATCTACAAATCAGCCACTTATTGGCCATTTGGATGCATGAACACCAGTGTGCTCACAGATGGGATACGAAGGGAAGAGATAATACATGAACTTCTCACACATCCCGCACATTGTCACCTCTCCCAAATCAGCATTCATAATAGCATTAGTGTGTGATTATTACATACAGACACACATGCATGAATGTAACTGGCTATTTAGTTGAATTTTAAAAGATCTGAATATATATTGGGGTGTTTCTTTTCATATAAATGCTCAGCGACTGCCAGTCATAACCAAATCTCTCAATATTCAGATTCAACTAAAATAGGGTGTGTCAATCATGACATCTGATCCAAGTAATACATTTTATAGTGGTAAAAAGTTAAATTTATTTATTTAGCCAAAATCCAGTTTTAGACCAATGGAAATAACACAATTGT